AGCCGATCCTTGATGTAAACCAACAGAAATAGGAAAATATTTGGTCAATCCTCCTTCAATTAAAACACTAGTAATGGTTCTTGTATACTTATCTTTAATGACTTGAATATAAGTCATATCAACACCTTTCTTCTCAAGTACTCCCTAAAGGATATCTCTTGGAATCTTATTGTAAGCTTTTTATAAATCAATAAAAATCATATGTAGACCATCCTTATTCTCTCTGAACTTCTCCATCAAACCTCTCAATAAATGTATAGCTTCCATAGTAGACATGCCCGATACGAGTTCTATGATGCTTGACACAGCTTTTAATGTATTTTTTTAGAGTCCTTAGGGAGTCTGCATTGGAAATAAGGTATGACACAGGTTCCAAGACACTTGACGCACTGAACCATGTGATTGAGATAGGAGCAGTATCTCATGTCATGTACCTTAAGTATGAATTTTCTACTTGTATAGAAATAGGGTCGAATGTGGAGCCTGACAATTTTTCCTATTTTATGGGATATGTTCTAACCAATTGGCATCCGACCTGTTATGTATTCATTTGCTTTGAGTTGCTTTACAATGCACAATATGTTGATTTTTTGCTTTCTAATTGTTTTGTGGTTTGTCTGTGTTAAAAAAAAATGTAATCTAAGCTCATTAAGGACCCAAAAATATAATTTCAAAAATTCTAATTATTAAAAATTCAAGATAAATCAAAATTTAGGATTAAAATATGTTAACTTATAAATGAGTGATTTACTTTCCTTGATGGTCTTTAATCTGTTTTAAAACAGGTTACATAGTAAGGACATCACCCAAGTCATGCGTAATAGGGCTCTCACATTTAAATTAAATTGCAAATAACTACAACATTTTGTGTGTCTTGAGGAGAAGCCCCAGCGCATCTTCAATCGACTAGGACAGACATAAAATTTGTAATTAGTTGGTGGTATGTAATGTAATAAGGTGCTAGAGGTTCCCCTGACCCAGACGAGGGTTTAAGTCATTTGTAAGAGCGCTTTGGCTTTGTAGTTGGGCCTCTCCTTTATCTTTTCATTCCAGCGACATCTCCATCACTTAATTGACGAGTATAAGTCTAACATATACCAATTCCACCTCTTAGAGGGTCATAAAAACTAGAGTTTCTTTCTTTTGTCCTTAAGGCTACTTTCCCTTGGACTATGTAATGCATGGATTGCTGACAAGGCGACCTTGGTCGAGTTGGGTCGACTACTTTCATGACCAGGCAAACTTAGGGTCTCCATAGTTTGAGATAACGGATCCATGGTATTCTAACCTAGCTAGTTTTACCTACTTAAGGATTGCTCCTCTTTTTGTTGACACCTTCTATGAGCCCTATCATTCCTTTGAATATTTGTTGATGTCGTCTCATAGGCCCTGCATGTCTAGACGCTTTCGCCCCTAGTGGATACGGTGATTCACCCTCTGCTATATGGCTCGGTATAGACACCGAAAGCATCAGGATTCTCCCGTTTCAGATGATAAAAATCATTTGATTTCCCAATTAACTGTGTATCATAAATAATGTAAGCAAGAACTTTCTTATTGAGAGTATTATTGAGCATGACCCAATATGTAATTAACCAAAAACATACATTCCTTTTGGTAGTACTCTTAAATCCATAATAAGTACTCAAACTTGACTATCTGATTACATGGGTGGCTTACATAGGGATTCTCTTCGCGGATTGTGTTTCAAGTTGTTTTGATATGATATCTTTAAACATACATTCTTGACCTATCATGTGAGGATTACCTTACATAAACCCTCATTATTTCTTTTTAAAATTTATTTGTCTAACTTTTGTTGTATATCATATTTTTTTTATTCCTCTCTTATTCATATCATTTTTATGATTCAAGAGAGAGATTTATTTGAAAAAGAGAATCATACAATGATAAAACAAGATGAAGACTTTGAATCTTTTTAAAAAATGACCTAAAATAGTACACAAGGAATGTGAAAGTACAATCTTGTTTTACTCTAAGAAATTCATAAAAAAAAAACCTTTATAAAATTATTCAAGCGTTGAAATATAGAGATAACATAATTGTACTGAAGAAAAGTTTGAGTACAATTGTGTTGTATCGAAGAAAAAAACAACCAAATATCGTATGATAAGTCAAAAGATGGTGCAAAACATGATTATACTTGAGTAAAATGGAGTACAAGTATATTTTATCGAAGAAAATAAAACCAAAACATAATATATTATTTTAAACCATAGGGTACAACGTGATTGTACTCAAGAAAAATGGAATACAATAATGTAATACTAAAGAAAAAAAGTATCTAAAATATCATATGTTAAAACATATAATACAACATGACTATCTTGAAGAAAAATTTGAATACAACCAAGTTGTACTCAAGAAAAAACCTTCAAATATACTATTTTATATTAGATGATTATGTATAACATGATTGTACTCAAGTAAAAAATTGAGCACAATTATGTTGTACCTAAGAAAAAATATTCAAAATGCCCTGTCGCATGTTAAAATATGGAGCAAACATGATTTTACTCAGTAAAAAATGAAGTACATTCATATCGTACTGAAAAAAAAAAAAACTAAAATGCCCTACCATATGTCAATAGACACTATAAAACATGATTGTACATAAGTAAAAATGAAGCATAATTATATTTACCGAAGAATCAAATGATTCTTACAATAAAATTAATCCACAAAATTGACATAAAAATGAATATGTTTTTATGAAAAAAAATAGGTAAAATCAAATGATTCTTACAAAAAAGAGTATATTCTATACTTAGAGTGTATATAGAATGTTAAATAATTTTATAAATTATGTAGAATGTGTTAGAAGCTTACTAATGAGTTCACGTCTATGACATCGTCAGGGGAGGTGATCTCCAAATGATGTAAATTAACACTTTACTTGTTCTCCATCCTTAACGTGATCTCTAAAAGATGTAGGTTAGCCCTCTGTTTGTTCTCAATCTTCTCGTCGACATCTAGTCTTATAATGTTGTTCCTTCCTGAGATTTTTTTTTTCTTCTCCGATTTGGGTAACAATATAATATTTAGACCTAAACCGTAAATTTTATCCTTGAGTTTGTGCGCGATGTAAAAAGTGTATGAGAAATCGATATTTTGGCTTCTGCCAAATATCAATTTTCTTATCTATCTATATATATATATATACACACACACACACACACCTTACTAACATTTATTCTTAAAGTTTATTACATTTCTTATAAGTTAATGGTGTAACTTTCTAAACTATAATTTACTTCTTTATTTTGTAATATCTGGGTATTTATTTTGTGAATAAGAAATTTTTGTATGCAACAAGAAAGTCAAGATCCCTTTTTTATGTGCCCACCCTTCAATAAAGGATATTTTATACCTAATATTTAATCTGCTGCTCATTAAGTTGAGTTTTATCTTCATTAGCTGGTTCCATATAGTATAATTAAAATTTTAACCTTTATATCTTATAAGAAATGTATATTTATAAATATATTAACCAAGCATGCGCTTCTCAATTGTTGACCGGTTTCATATTTTATTAACGATGACTTTTATACGATTACTGGCACAAAATTAACCAACAACTTCATGTATTAAACCATATTATTACATGGCAATTGAAATTTTTTTTTTGGTTTTTATACTTTTTTTTCCATGTGTTTGAGAGCAATTTGTGCTCTTAAGTGGTCAAGTTCTGTTGTCTACATCAATACTGTCTGCATAAAATTTTTAGCACTTACATAAAAGCCTAAAAAATCTTCCTTTTTTTCAGTTTTCCCAATTTTATGGTGTTCTATTACTCTAGAGTGCGCTGTAAATGAGCCGGGTTTGAGCGGGCTTAATTAGGCTTCGCTCGTGTTTGGCTAATTAGTTATGTTTGAAATTATTGTTAACAGTGTTCTTCTTTGGCTTAGTTTATATATTGTTGTTCATGTTCGAATCTCTATGATTCATATGCAATAAAAAATGCAGAATCACATCATCACACGAGCTATAGTGATTTAAACTTAAGATAAAAATATACATAATATGTTATTATATAAATAATATATATAGAATAAATCCAATGACAATTTATCAGCCAAAAAGACAAGTTTGCTTACAAGCTTAAAACTGAATGCAGTACAGTTTGTTATCCATAATACATAAATATAATCTAAACAGATACAATGATA